TCAGAGGTTGAGTTTGACTCCAAAGCGCTTAAAAAAAATCTTTTTATCTACTTATTTACTTACTATACTCTCTTTAAATAATGGGGAGAAAAAAAATCTTAAGTTCTGTTTTCTAGATTCATGGGGAGTGATATAAGATATGACACAAACTGGAATTGCAGAATACAAAACGCAACAAGGGAATTAATGAGCTAAAGGAAAGCATGAGAGTAACAGACGACAGCAGAGTTCAATCCAAAGCCATTCAAAACCAGAGTATTGCTACAGGGGGAAAGGTGTCCAAAAGAGACAAAATCTATGTTCTACTACAACCCAGATGTTAGACTTGGAGACATGAACAATCACAGGATGAAGGAAAGCTCATACTGGAATGAGAAGCAGGAAATACATATCTCATATATAGAAAATCCTATATTTAATACATGTAATATACCACCATTTCTCTTGACTGGCTTTGGGTTTAACCTCCAGTTGACTGCTGCTTTCAAATGCATGAGTAGTATCACTGTCTTGATATGGTTTGTCATGGTTAGGAAGGTGTTTAATTGCCAGAATGAATCAAAGACCTCAGTTGTCCTTTTATGCCACACTCTAATACTTCCCTTTGTTTTTATCTGGGTATCCTCCACCTCTGCCTGCAAGTACTTTCCCCACATAACTGTGCTTTGAGCAAGGAATTCCACTTAAGCGAATTTAACAATTATCTGTTCTGAAGTGTGTAACTCAGCTGGTTTTTTTCCCATTCTCAGATTTGAAATGAGCTAATAATAGTTCTGCAACATTTGTTTTCTCCACTCCCCTAACATAATTGCTTCCCTTAGTAATGTCACAGCTCCAGTTTTCCAAAGAACTCACTACGCTTTCTCCATCTCACCTGAATACAACTGAGTGACCAAGCTGCAGTCACTCGGGTTGTTTTATGCTGGAACTTCAAATTTCTGCAGCTCATTCATGTAACAACTCCTGGGAACAGCCTTGGTCCAATTGCCAGTGCTGTGGCTGAAATCTTTCTTCCATGGTACTTGAAGTGGCTGTGTCCCCAGAGCTGCTTTCAACAGAGAAAGTGGGGAAATGACATTTATAAACAAGTCTTGATGGAATACAGCCTATGTGACAGACACGTAGTGCCACAGACTGGCCATCGCTGAGTGAATATTGGATGCTGATTAATTCAAGTTAAAAGCAAGATGTAAATTTTCATAGATGAAGGAAGTGGCTGGATGGGGTTTAGAGCAACCTGGTCTGGAGGGAGGAGTCCCTGCCTATATCAGGGGGTTGGAACTGAATGATTTTAAGTGTCCCTTCCAACCCAAAACATTCTGTGATTCTGTGATTTGATTTTATCAGATAATTTGCAAAGGATGGCATGAGTTCCTCCCATTGGTAGTTTTGAAGACAAGTCTAGATTTTTGTTCATCTGTTAGTTTACTCCAGTTCAAACAAAAATCATCTGAGACTTCAACCTGTTGGACCAGGGAGAAAATGAAGTCAGCCACCAGTTGCTTTGTAGAACAAGGTGGGAAGACCGAAGCACGGAGGAGAGTTGGTCACACCCCATTGACGTCATGTTTCATTTGGGGACAAAGCAGTGCTTTGATAATCAAACTCTGGAGGCACTTTGCATAGATTTGTACACCTCCCTCACCTCCCTATGCTCTTCTGAGCTGCTCAGAAAATCTCTCTCACCTCATAACATCATTATCTTTTTTAAAGGGAAGAAATAGTATCTGACTAAGGACAAAGTGACCCTTTTGGATATTGGAGAATGAAGTCCAGCCCAGGAGCACGGCACACACATAATAGGAGATCAGGAGATGTCTGAACTGCAGAGGCAATGAGATTCTCGGTTTTTCAGAGCTTGTCTTCAAGTGTTCAGTGTTGGTACAAATGCATGATTTTTATGGGAAGCAGATAGCACTCATAAAGACATCTACTTAGTTAAAAGCTGATTTCATGCAAAGTTTTCCCTAACATGAAACTTTCAGTCAGTTCCAGACATAGGTCACTGCAAATGGCACCAAAACTGTATAATTTATTAAAAACAAAAGATTAAGAAAATACTGAATCATAAGGTTCTTCTGATAGTTAGGTTCAGTATCTTATGGTTAAGAAATGCTACTATAAAAATTGGTGAAAAAACTTGACTGAACCAGAAAATAAGTGACTAATTCATCAGGTGATCAGATCGATAATTGTGCTGTATCTGAAAACAGTTTTTTCAAGTTGTTAGCTGATGATTCTAATAAAGGAAACTTGGACTGTCTGTATCCACTGTAGTGTGACAGATCAGGTAGTGAGTTGGTCACAGTTTATATATACCTGCACAACACACAGTTAACAAGTTCTCAGATCCACAGACAGTGATGCAATGAACACCATTGGCTGAAAATTAAATGAAAATTAAATTCAAAAATTAATGAAAAAAATGAAATTTATTAATTAATGAAAATTAAATGAAAAAAAAAAAGAAAATTAAATTCAAACACAGGAGCATGTCTTTGTGTTAGTAAGGGTAATTACTTGCTGATATGGCTTAGCTGTGGCTCTCTTCCACTGGTGATTTTCTGATCTTTGAAATATCTCCTCCGGTTTCAACACGAATTATGTCAGAGAAAATCTGTGATTTGTCTTGTAGGGAAGTCAGAAGAGATTATTGCACAGGTTCCTTTTTATATCAGATTTCATGAATGTATGAGATATGGTAAAGTATGTTTTAAATGCCACTATGTCTTCCTACAAATGGGTGGGGAAAAAAAAAAAGAAAAAAAAAGGTTTTACTTAGGAATTGCATGTCTCCAGTTGGGTTCAGTAAGATCATCACAACTTATTTTTCCAAAGTAAAACTTCCTCTCCAAAGAAGTGGTCGGGCACTGGAACAGGCTGCCCAGAGAAGTGGTGGGGTCACTGTTTCTGGAGGTGTTCAAGAAGCATGAAGATATGGTACTTAGGGACATGGTTTAGTGGGCAATATTGATGGAAATGGCAATATTGGTTGGATTAGATATTCTTGGAGGTCTTCTCTAACCTTAATGATGCTATGATTCTAAATTTCTGCCTGACAGATATTGTTTACAGAAGTGTGAATATGGAGAACAAAAGAACATAGCAATAAATACACCCAAGTTCTTTGAATATTTTTGCTGACACCCAGAAGAGACATCAGGACTGTGGTAGAAGCTGGAAGAAGCTGCTGGCACCTGATGTGGAGAAGAAAGATAAAAGGAGGACATAGGATTAGTAATGAGAGGGTGAGGAGGGAATGGAGGTTGCTCATGCCCAGAAGCACTTCACCAAGAATCTATTTGCAAGAGACAGAAATACTGTCATATCAGTCATTTCTAAGATGCTTCTTGCAAGTCACCCCTGATGTTATATTCCTCTCTTGAAGGGTTCAGATTTGGTTCTGCAACATTTTTACTCTGTTTCTCAGCTGTGCAAAGGTATTGCTCCCACAGCAGAGATTCTGGCTTCACTTCTAATGTGTCCCCGTTTTTGGGGGGACGCAGAGGTCAAGGATCTCTTTGATGAATCTCAGTATTTTTATAAATTCATTTGGTACCCAATATTTTTCTGCAGCTTTCAAAGGCATATAGGCATAAATTGCAACTTTGATGAATGCCCAGCTATCATTCATATGCCTTTAGAAATACCATTTATGTTGAAGATTTCTAACTTGAACTTAACATGGCAGATATTTGGTAACTAAAAAAAGGAAACGTCCATATCCTCTTTCCAGTTTATGACATTATTTCCTTCTGCACAGGCTTACTCTAGAGCAACGTATCAAAATAAATTCAGTAATAGTAATACTCCTTTGAACATCTACAGCACTTGATACAAGCAATTTAAATAATCACTGCACTTCAAAAACTTTTGCTACCATCTTGGATTTCAGATATTACAGACTGGTGAGAGATATTAAGTAACATGTCTCAAACCATTCTTGACATCTGCTGTTGAAGCAAGAATAGACAGAAAGTCTCCAGAGAATTTACCCATTCATTTCACCACAAAATGATTGTTCCTGCCTACAATATGAGTTCTCCACTCAGGAGATATCAATTACGCAGCTCACACACACAATTCACATTTACCCTGGGATTAAAACTAACATGTAATTCAAAGAAGGTCCAACTTGTTTTCTCCTCTTAGACTTTAAACTCATGATTGTAGAGTGAGTTGACAGTGCAAAACAAAGCTCACATCTGGACGTGCTCAAACCAGATGATATTTCAACAGTGCCACAGATATCAGGAAGATATGAAGAGGGCATCAGAAAGAAAAGCGCCCACTGGGAAAAAAAAAAACGTACCAAATTATCTGCAATTATCTTCCATGTATAAAAGAGGAGTCCTTACAGCATAATGTACCCATGGTATCTCTGGCTTAAATAGGAAAGTATAAACCTCTTCCAGATAAATACTGGATAGAATGATAGAATCATCGCATCATCAAGACTGGAAAAGAACCATCCACCTATCTATGTGTTCCTCACTCACTCATGTCCCTTAGTGCCACATCTCCATGTTTCTTGAATGCCTCCAGAGACAGTGACTCCATCACCTCCCTGAGCTGCTTGTTCCAACAACTCACAGATTCACATAATCGCAGATTTGTAGGGGTTGAAAAAGATCTCTAGAGATCATCGAGACCAACCCCCCTCCCAAAGCAGGTTCCCTACAGCAGGTCACACAGGTAGGCATCCAGGCAGGTCTTGAACATCTCCAGAGAAGGAGATTCCACCACCTCCCTGGGCAGCCTGTTCCAGTGCTCCGTCACCTCACTGTAAAGAAGTTCTTGTGCTCAACATGTGCTCTCTCCCCTGGGGCATGGCTGTCTCTGGACGCTTCACAGCCACCGATGCCTCTTTTATCCCTGGCCCACCGCCCTTCCTCCTGCCTAGGAACATGCCCCCAGTCCCCGAACAGCAGCGCTGTCCTGCACCAATGCCTTTAGTGCTGCCACTGTCCCGGACGCACTGCCACCACAATGACACCGGCTGTGGAAATGATGGTGTTATTTATTTCATGACTGATGGAAAATGGAGGTGATGATCTGGGGGAGGTTGGTGTCCCCCCAGTGGAAGATGTTGTTGTCATCGCAGGTGCCTTCAGCGCCACCTTCGGTCACCATTTGACCCACAGGCTGCCAGATGGAGAGAAGCGCCTTGTGGAAATCACTCTGTTTGCGTTCTGAAGCTGAGGCCGTTTGTTCCGTTCCCTGGAAATGACAGGGCATGAGCGCAGAGAAAGGGATGCAGGCTCGTTTTGCAGAGCATTGCCCTGCAGGGCTCTGATTCTTGCGCCACTTTTCCAGCGTCCCAGGACAGCTCGGGGCAGCCCGTGGGGCTCACGGCACCTCCGGCAGGCCCCGTTTTGCATGGGAGTCTCGGCTGGCTGTCAGCCCTAGGGCCGGGCAAGTCTCTGGGGAGAGCTGCTGGACCTCTGGAGGTCTGCTTTGCTTGGAAGCCCTCACAGACCAGACCTTTGCGGTTCCCTGCTCCCCACCCTCAGTCCCTTCTGTGTATGAATCCCAAGCGCTTACCTGTGCCTGATGTCTTCACATCCATGAAAGACCTTGTTCTTCTTCCCATCCTTGGTCTTGGTGGAGCAAGATGTCAATCCAAGCCTGCAGAGCCAGTTGGAGGGCTGGCTCTTGGACTCAAACAGGCTTTGCTCCTCATGAAGGACTTGGTCTGTCTTCCTGTCCTCGATCTTGGTGGAGCAGGATGTTAGTACAAACCAGCAGAGCCAGTTGGAGGGCCGGGCCTTGCTCTCAACCGGGCTCTGCTTCTTGTGAAGGACCTGCCTTTTGTTCCCGTCCTCCATCTTTGTGGAGCAGATGTTTCGGCAAAACCAGCAGAGCCAGTTGGAGGGCTGGCTCTTGGTGTCAGTTGGTCCGTGCTCCTGGTGAAGGACGTTCCTTTGGTTGCCATCCTCGATCTTGGTGGGGCAGGTGGTTAGACCAAGCCAGGAGCGCCAGCTGGAGGGCTGGCACTCGGTCTCTAAGGGATGCACATTCGTTCAAAACTTCCTATGCTGCAGCTAATGTCTGTTTCCCCTTGTCCTGTCTCCACCTACCACTGAAAAGAGACTGGTCTCACCACTATGGCTGCTATTTATTCTATTTATTCAGATATTTATAAACCTGGATCAGGTCCCCTCTCAGTCTTCTTTTCTCAAGGCTGAACAGCCTTTCTTCTTAGGGGAGATGCTCCAGGCCCTTCACCATATTTGTAGCCCTCCGCTGGACTCTTTTCAAGAGATCCCTGTTTTTTTTGTATTCGTGAGCCCAGAACTGGATGCAGTACTCCAGATGAGGCCGCACCAGGGCAGAGTAGAGGGGGAGGATCACCTCCCTTGACCAGCTGGCCACGCTCTTTTTAATGCATCCCAGGATGCCATTGGCCTTTTTGGCCACGAGGGCACTGCTGGCTCATGGCCAAAACCTCACCACTCTTTCAAAGGAATTTCCAACCTGAATCTCCCTGGCGCAACTTGAGGCCATTCCCTTTAGTGCAGGCATGTCCAATCCAAGGCCTGCAGTCTGCATGTGGTGCAACTCAGCTCACAGTGCAGCCTCTGTGCCCTGCTGCTGTGCCATCATGGCAGCAGCAGCTCTGCCCCACTAAGTGCTCCAACCCAGCCCTGGGGCACAGGGAGATCTCAGTGCACTGCTAACATTATATGGCACTATGCTCATTTGCAAGGAAATCATGTTGGCTTTCAAAAATTACTAACTGAGAAGACACAATATGCAGAAGCATGCTGCCAATTTTGATTCATACCAAGGAATGCCTCAAAAAGACAAAACAGAGGAACTGAAAAAAGTCTGTTCACCTCAACAAAATATTTTAAATAGTTAAAACTTAAATGGACCCTACTATAAAAGTTAGTTATTTGATAGCAAATCTGATCAAAATCATTTCTTCATTGGGAGTTTGTTAAGCAGTGTATGGAAAGTATGACAGATAAAATGTGTCTTGATTAAAAAAAAAAAAAAGATTTTTCTAAAATCATTTTGTCTCACCTGACTATAGACAGGTGAGCTGAAGAAATAGGAAAATCTATCCAAAATAATATGGAGAATAAAGCTGCTAATTTCATATTTTAAGCTTTTATAATAGATGAAAATACTGATATGGCTCAACTTGACATTCTCACTAGAGATATTAATAACAAATGTAATATGAAGAAATTTCACTGAATAAATGGCTTCTTTGGTACCACTAAAAGACTAAACCACTAAATCTCTTGATTGGTATGAAGTGATTAAAAAAAAAAATACATTATTTTCTTTAACCATTGTCAACATATCTGGTACAGCTACTGATGGCACCCCAGTGATGACTGGTTAAAAACAGAGCCTTACAAATTAATAGAAGATGATGCAATTACCACCGGTTACTCACGTTTAATGAAATATCATTGCATCAGACATCAAGCAAATTTATGTGCAAAAATTTTAAAAATGGATAATGTCATTTAAATTGTCAACAATGCTATGAATTTCATAAATTCCAAGGGTCTGAATCATCACCAATTATTAAAAGTCTGGATGTTGGTTATGCAGTCATCATTTACTTTTCTGAAGGATGGTGGCTAAGTGAGGGTGAAAAGCTAAAAAGACTTAGCAAAGTGAAATCAAGTCCTTCATGGAATCAAAAGGAAAATTTGTGTTAGAACATGAAGATTAAGAATGGTTCTCAGACTTAGCATTTTTGGCGGAATTGACTGCTCATTGAAATGAGTTAAACATGCATGTTCAATGTGAAAATTACCTTATCTGTGCTATGTTTCAAGCAATAGCAGCATTTGAAATTAAGCCTAAATTGTGGCAAGCTCAAGTTACGGCAAATAATTCCATGCATTTTGATACACTGACTAAATGTAGCCCAGTTAACAGTGAAAAACATGTAGTCATGCTTTCAATTTTGATAAAGAAATATAAAAATAGATTTCAAGACTTCCAAAAAAATAATCTTTTTTTGTATACTTGTGACTTGTTCAAAGAAGGGCAACAAAGCTGATGAGGGGTCTGGAGCACAAGCCTTATGAGGAGTGGCTGAAGGAGCTGGGATTGTTCAGTCTGGAGAAGAGGAGGCTCAGGGGAGACCTCATTGCTCTCTATAACTTCCTGAAGGGAGGTTGCAATGAGCTGGGGGTCGGCCTCTTCTCTCGTGTAACCGGTGATAGGACCAGAGGGAATGGTTTCAAGCTGCGCCAGGGGAGATTTAGGCTGGATGTTAGGAAATGCTGCTTTTCTGAAAGAGTGGTCAGGCGCTGTAATGGGCTGCCCAGGGAGGTGGTGGAGTCACCGACCCTGGAGGTGTTCAAGGAACATTTGGATTTTGTGTTGAGGGACATGGTGTAGTGAGAACTATTGGTGATGGGTGGATGGTTGGACTCAATGATCCTGTGGGTCTTTTCCAACCTTGTGATTCTGTGATTCTATGATTCCATGATTCCATTTTCAGTCAACATAAAAACATTACTTGCAAATTTTCACATGGAATATACAGAGTTATAATCAAACACTCAGCTCAAAGGAAAAATTGTTTTGTGTCTCTTTACCAGACTTCCATAAGCTCTATCTTACCAGAGAAAAATATCCCTTGCTTCACAGTCATGCCTTATTCATATCATCACTTTTTGGCAGTACATAATTTGTGAACAATTATGGTCAAGGATGAAGCACAGGAAAATATTTCATAAAAATCTCTGATGGATACTTTGAGAACTCACTAGCAATGGCAACCACTGCCATCAAACTAGCCTGATGTATTAGATTCACAAAAGCAAGGTCAAACATCCCACTAATTTTATGGGTTTTTTTAAACTTCAATAAAAATACATTCAAAGTTATCTTTGTTACTTACATACATTAATTTTATTGTTTATTTTATATGCAGCCCATGGCAATTCCTGTTTGATCAATGCAGCCAAGCCAAGCCAAAGTGTTGACAATTATGCTCTATTCCTGTTGTTACCTGGGAGGAGGGCTCCATCCCCATCTCACTACAACCTCCTTACAGGGTGTTATAGAGAGCGATGAGGGCTCCCCTGAGCCTCCTCTTCTCCAGACTGAACAGTTCCAGTTCCCTCAGGTGCTCCTCATAAGCCTTGTGCTACAAGAACAAAGAACAGACTCATGCGAAGTTCTTAACTGAAAGCTATACTATTTTATGCTGACGACATCTGAGGTTACGTTCCAGATAACAAGGTTAGACCTGGACCATTTTCTCACCATTAGTTCTCTCTCATTTTGCTGCTGTCCTCAACAACAATGGGATTGTTCCCTCAACTTTCAGTGGTGAGAGATGAGGGCTTTACAGCTCCACTGAAGATGGGGATTAAACTTGTATGCGTAGAAAGATGGTTTTCACGTGCTGTGCTGGATCAGGGCCATTGTGCTCTGCACATTGCAGAGCAACACTATCTGAGGCTTATTCTCAACCCCACAGAACCCAGTGACATTATCAGAAACAGATTTTGTGCTATGAATCAGTGCCTATTGCCCAAGATGTAGAAGGGCTAGCATGGCTACCAAGATCATCCTACTGCTTTCAGAACTGCAGAATCACAGAATCACAGAATGGCCAGGGTTGGAAGAGACCTCAAGGATCATGAATCTCCAACCCCTCTGTCACGTACAGGGCCACCAACCTCTCCATTTAATACTAGACCAACTAACAGCAGAAGTTCGCACATCTTTCAGGAAACAATGGAAAATGGATATTTTACCTGGTACAAGTTCCCCAAACTTCTCAAAGTGATACAAATATTTTATAACAAGCCATTTTAGAGCGTCTGTTTTTTCATTTTTCTTTTTTTTTCTTACAGAGGCATGCATTAGAGGTTGAAGGTCAGGGATGATTTGTAGAATTTGAAGGAAATAGAATGAATCCCTCAAGAATAGAACCATACAGTTCAACTTGCAATCAGAGTCATCAGTTTACATGATTCTATTTGGGCACCCCAGGGAAGGAAACCGCAGCAAGATTTATATAAACAATTAGGAACTGTATTTTTGATTACTTCAATCTATTCCATTGAAGTTTGGCAGTATCCTCAAATAAACCAGTATTTTTTCCCCAGAAGAAAGCCTGACTGGGTTCTTATCCTTTAAATATGGTACAGCTCAGTCCAGCTGTCCCTGTTAAGCAAGAAATTATCCTTTTTTTTGGTTGTTGGTTTTTTTTTCTGTCATAAAAATACATCCCTTTACCCATTCTCTTTACCTCCAAAATCATTCTACCTTAATATGTTTTGGGGGAAAGGGTAGGAAGACTATCCCGCCCCACACTGTATGAGACTTCTATATTTAACAGCATTCAGATCTGACTTCCATTTTATCACTAGGAAATATGGGGCTGCTGTGCGAGCCTCCTTCTTAACCTCTGCCCTCAATTTTCATTCTCCCTGAAATGAGTTCAGTGGCCG